TTTGTTACAGGGAGGCAACATGACATGACCCACAACACGAATCGCTTGCCTGAATGAATTTTTAAACTGGGTGTGCTGCCACTGTAATGTGTCACCCATTGTTTTTATAAGTACAGAACATTACCACACAAAATGGCAGTGCATGAAAGAATGAGTGTCACTCAAGATCTCATAATCATAAAAATAAATCTCTTTTATTTTGTTTCTAATTATCAAAATTTATATTTGAATTCCAGCATCATGTGACAGGGGTGGATCCAGGAATAAAAAAAAAGGGGGGGGGGAGTCCAATAAGTTGTAGATGGGGGAACATAGTGAGCTCAGCGAGCCCAGCCAGTTGGGGCTTTGGGGGAAATCTGACCAACATCATGGGCATTTTGAGGCCATATGCACTTGATATTAAGAGATATTCTGAGGTCAATAGTAATTACTTTCTACTATACAAAAACGCTTAAGTACAATGCTGCATTAAAGGAAAAGTACTGTATTAGAATTTTCTGATGAAAAGGACCCCCCAGATCCGCCCCTGTATGTTTATGTTCCTAGTCAAAGCAGACCAGTGCTCCATAATTTTCATTGGGCATATTTAGGTACAGTACTTCCTCTTTGGCCACTTTCTAAGAGGAAAACTCCCTCAGTGAGTGGGGGATTTATACTGCCATACAATAAGATTGGACGCCCGCCCCACCACAAGGGGACGTATCATATGTCCCAACGGGATGAAGAAACTGCACTATTTGAGACTGAATGTGAGAAGGACCTTGGTGTGTATGTTGACAATGAGCTGAAGTTCTCGGGCTACTGCGAGAAGAAGGTAAATTGGGCAAATAAATTATTAGATCCTATAAGGTCGTTCAGATATCTAGACGGTCCGTCCCTTGTAATGATCTTCAAGAGTGAAGTGCTTCCCAATCTGGAGTACTGTCACCTCGTCTGGTCCCCGAGATATACTAGGGACTATCAGTTGGTTGAAAATGTTCAAAGGAGGGTCACCAGACTGGTGCCTGCGCTTCGGCACCTCAACTACCCTGAATTTGCCTAGCTTATACTACAGACGGGTAAGGAGTGACCTAATTGAGATGTATAAGCATCTCAAGGGGCACTACTCAGTCGAGTGTCCTTACTTGGAGCTGGCAGACGCTCGCCCCACAAGGGGTCACAGCTCAAGATTGAAGAAGCCGCAAGTCCAGAAACCTGTGAGGGCAAACTTTTTCGGAGTGAGAATGTGGACAATCTACCAGAATATGTTATGACGGCACCGAGTGTGAGCTCTTTCAAGACAAGACTTGACCAACACTGGAGAGGGTTCAGGTACATTCAGGAGCCGGTGCATGCCCAGTACTTGCCAACAGTGCATAACAGAGACATGACCGATCGCCCAAGTGGCTAACGAGCCGATCTTTTGGTGAAGAAGATAAAAGAAAAGGAAAAGTAATCAGAGACGTGACCGATCGCCCAAGCGGCTAACGAGCCGATCAGTGGTGAAGGGGATAAAAAGTAAAAAAAAAAGTATAATCAAGTCTGCCCCCCATCAGATGTGTCACTTTTTCTGTGTCGTATACAGTGATATTATGATTACTGATGTAATTTACGTACACCCTCCCATTAGAGTTACACTGGACATCACCGAGGACAGTGTGACGAGAGTTAAAGTCACCCATACACAGCATAGCATTGTTACCTGATGGCTTTGGTAACACGTCATCTCAGACCACCTAGTCAGTGATCATTATGCAATACTTACTGAATACACTGTTGCTGATGTCAAGTGTGAACCCCATCCTAAGCTCAGAATTAACATCCCAGATAGTCTTAAACTGCACATTCAAAGTCCAGGGTCAAGGCTATCACAAAGCAGAATCCCTCTTACCACTGGAAGATGAGCAGGCAAAGTTCCTCCAAATCTACTTCATGGGAGATCATGAAAAGCAGACTACTATCAGGTGTGGCAACATTCAAGGTGTCAGACATGACATTGTCCTATCTATCCAAGAAATGCTGCATGAGCGCAACACATGTGTATAGTCATTTAAAAACATGCCTTTTGACGAGTACAAAGTCAGGATTAAAGCAGACACCTTAATGCACTACAGTGAGACAATGTGGAGCCTCCCGGAGGGTGGCGTCCTACCGTGGCCTAGCGAAAGAGCCGCCCGGAGGTCGGCGATTCCGCTAGTAATAATAATAATAATAATAATAATAATAATAATAATAATAATAATAATAATAAGAACCATGAAGAAATAAAAAAATGAAAAAAAAATCAAAAGTGAGAAACATTATATATATATGTTGTGTTGTCAATAGTAAGAGAAACAATTGAGACCCTGCAATTGTGTGTAAATGAAGCAGAAAGTCAGATGAACAACCTGGGACTTGGTCACAACTT